TAAGTTAAATCTAATTTTTTTTTTTTTTTTTTGCTTATTCTTTTTTCTCATTTTTGATTTAAATTTCATTTCAATAATATGAAGCATTTCGTTTTTTTAGTATTTTTTTTGTTTTTTAGCATTTTTTTTTAGTGTAATTTGTTATTATTGTTAATATTAAATTAAACAGTGGAAAAGTCAGCGGTTAGTACAATTACTGCTTTTATTACTGATAATCACAGTGGTGATGACAATGATGACAGTATGACAATAATGATGACAATGATGATGACAGTGATGTCAATAATGATAATAGTGATGACAGTATGACAATGATGATAATAATGATGATGACAGTGATGTCAATAATGATGATAGTGATGACAGTATGACAATGATGATAATAATGATGATGACAGTGATGTCAATAATGATGATAGTGATGACAGTATGACAATGATGATGACAGTGATGTCAATAATGATGATAGTGATGACAGTATGACAATGATGATAATAATGATGATGACAGTGATGTCAATAATGATGATAGTGATGACAGTATGACAATGATGATAATAATGATGATGACAGTGATGTCAATAATGATGATAGTGATGACAATATGACAATGATGATAATAATGATGATGACAGTGATGTCAATAATGATGACTTTGTTGTTTGCATAAGCAAAGAGAAAATAAATAAAGTATGTAGTTGAAAGAGCAGAAAAATTTGTCGCTTCACTTAGAATGTTTGGATATAGTTGACTATTGGTTATTTAATGGTTGATTATATCATCTTCATCCTGGTACGCTGTCAACAGATGGAATAGATATTTTTCAATCCATCCAATCCAATCTAATTCATCAATTTTTTTTTTCAATTTTTTTCCTCTTATACTTGTCAACATCATCATCATCATCATCATCATCGTCATTATAATAACCACAAACACTATCATCATCATCATCATCATCATCATTACAATCATCACATTATCGTCATCATTATCATCATTATCACCACCACCATCATCGTCATCATCATCGTTACTATTACAACCATCATCATCACCATTATTGTCATCATTATCACTATCATCGCATCACAATCATCATCATCACCAGCATCACAATCATTATCATTATTTTATCTGCCGGAAATAAAAGTCCTTCAAAGATCAACTCTTCCTATTTCCTTTTCTGTCGTCCCTTTTCATCTTTTATGTATCGAAAATTTCTTTTCTTTTATCCGTTTTTTTTTTTTTTTTTGTTTTGTTTTGTTTTGTTTTGTTTTATTTTATTTTATTTTTTATTTTATTTTATTTTATTTTATTTTATTTATTTTATTTTATTTTATTTATATGTCACTTTCATTCTAACCATTTTCCTCTCCAAATTTTTTGTTTTTGTTTTTTAGCATCTTTGTTTGTTTCTCTTGCGATCTTTATTATTAATTATTATTAACTTTTAACTTTATAAAATGTTGCATGAAAAAGTTTATAGTTTATAATTAAAAAAATTTCTCCCTTTTTTTTTACATAACATTATTGCTATTTAAATTACTCATGAACAATTTTTTTTTTTTTTTTAAATTTCATCTTTATATCATTTATTGTATAAACCTAATATATTAATTAATTGTATGCAAATGACAAATATTCCACTTTATTATCTTACATAATTATATTTGAATATTTTGCTTACTTGAATTTCACATCTATTTTAAAAATCATTCAATCAATATGTAGCGGAAGGTACCAGTTAGTTAACTGCTGGTAACAACAAATAATCCTACAATTTTAATAGAGTTTTTGTGTAAAGCAGAAAATCGTTATATTATAATTAGAAATTAAGAACATTCATCGCTATTCTAAAAATCGTAATATTTTATCACTATTCAATGATCATCTAATTTTAACTATGTAATTTTGTATGAAATATTTAAGATTGTCAAACGTATAATTTTCTTTTTTTTAAAACTAATAGTGTGAAGCTATTACGTTAATTTAAGCTAATGACGTGAAACTACTGACGTTTTGATCATTTTTTTACGATATTTTGAGCATAATTGAATAATAAATAGCAATAAATGAAACGATTTTTTTTTTTTTTTTTGTCTTTTTTATTTTTATTATTCGGGAACGAACTTTTTTTTGCAGTAAATTTCCGGTTGTGAAGAAAACAAGTTCCTGTATTTTAATTTAAATTTGAACATTAATTGTGATAATGTTTAAATGGAATGACAATATTTCACCATCGTCTTTTCTTTCTTTTTTTCATTTTTAAATAGCATTAAAATATTTTGATGGAGTAAATGAAAGAAGAAAAAAAAAAAAAAAAAGAAATTGAAAAAAGGATAAAAAGAGTTATACGAGAAAAACTAGCTTCTTCTTCTTTTTTTTTTTTTTTTTTTTGAATTACTTTTTAAAATGGAATATGAATCAATAGAGAAGGAGGAAAAAAGCGAATTATTATGTATTAAGAGAGTTTTTTATTTTGATTGAAAAGCTAAAATGGATGCTACTTAATTATATTGTTGTATTCAAAGTAAGTAAAAAATAAAAATAAAATTGAAAACATTTTTTTTGAAATAAAAATTATTTATTTAAGAGAGAGAGAGAGAGAGTATAAAATAATTTTAGGATGCTAAAAGATGCATTTAGGAAGAAATGTATGAAAGCATTCAAAAAAAAAAAAAGGAAAAATTTGCTAAGATTATGAGATTTGTTATATTTGATATTTGATATGATGTGCACATTTAAAATTATTGATAATTTTTAATATGTCATTTTCTATTCTATCTCAAAAATTTAAATTAATACAAAATTAAAAATTATTTTTCAAATTCATTCGTTGCTTTTTTTTAAATGTTTGTTTATTTGTTTTTTTTTTCTTTTTCAGAAGCTATTTTATGTTCATTATATGTGAAAATTAAAAGTAAGTTGGAATTCTATTTTTCTAAATTAATCTTTATGTTTTTTTTTTTTTTTTTTTTTTTTTTTTTTTTTTTTTTTATTTTTAATGTTTGTTTTATTTTTTCATACATTCATTTATTTATTTTAATAAACTATTGATGAAGTTTAAAAAAAAAATTTAAAAAATGACTTAGGAATGTTTAAAGAAACAATGTTTTAGTGATCAATCAATCAATTTTTCTTTTTTTTTTTTTTTGTTCAACAATTTTTTAATGAATGATTCATTTGGAAAAGCTATTAAAAAATGTTGTAACATTCATAAGTACAAATAATATTACTGCAAAGTAACAGTGGTAAATTACTTATAAAATTGTATAAGTAATTTACATTTTAGTATAATTTTGCAAATTACTTAACAAATTACAAAAAGTATGAATGGATAATAAGTGTTTACTGTTCTCACTTTTTTTTTTTTTCTCCATAGCAATTTGATGCAATAATCAGATAAAATTTATAACTGTTTTTCTAATATTTTACAAAAATACAAATTAATCAATTTTGTATTTTTGCTGTTTTTTCTTTTTCTATTTCCCCATTTTTTTTTTTATTTAAAAATAATTTTGATAATATATAATTAAAATTGACAATAATTGTGATTTTGATTAATAATTGATAATAATTATATAATTTTGTGATAATTGATGTGTTTTTTTTTTTAATTTTTTTATTTTTCTTCTTCCTTTTGTGTATTTCTTTTGAAAAATTTCAGTGTCAAATTGCTCAAATTTTGGTAAAAGAAAGAGCACTATTATTTGATTATATGAACAGCAAAACTTTCATCATACTGTCTACTGCGAACAAAGTGGAAAATTGTCAAATTGCTATCGCTTTTCCTATAAACGTATCAAATCGTACAACGACGACAATTGCTACTATTACTATTATTATTTAACAATTACTATTTAATATTATCATTATCACTATTACTACTATTACTATTATTTACTATTTAACAATTACTATTTAATATTATCATTATCACTATTACTACTATTACTATTATTTACTATTTAACAATTACTATTTAATATTATCATTATCACTATTACTACTATTACTATTATTTACTATTTAACAATTACTATTTAATATTATCATTATCACTATTACTACTATTACTATTATTTACTATTTAACAATTACTATTTAATATTATCATTATCACTATTACTACTATTACTATTATTTACTATTTAACAATTACTACTTATCATTATCACTGGTATTAGTACTATTTAACAATTACTATTTATCATTATCACTAGTATTAGTATTTAACAGTTACTATTTATCATCATCATTACCACTATTACTGCTACTATTATTATTACTATTTAACAATTATTATTTATCATTATCACTAGTATTATACTATTTAACAAATACTATTTATCATTATCACTACCATTACTACTGTTCAATAATTGCTATTTATCATTATCACTAATATTACTACTATTTACTAATTACTATTTATCATTATCATTATCACTAGTATAACCCCTATTTACTAATTAGTATTTATCATTATCACTACTACTATTACAACTATTTCCATTAGATTTGCATATATTATTCATCAATTTCTATTTCTATTATTTCTATTCAATTGATCAAAATTTTTTATTATTGGTCAAATTTAATTTATACCTTTTAATTTCATCCAAATAAAAATACGAAAAGAAAAAAGAAATGTCTAATTTAATCTGTTATTATCATTATTATCATTGAATGATAAAATACAATGGAAATTTTAATTGATTTAAAATTTCTAATTTAATCAATTAAAAATTAATAATTGACTATTTTAAAATTTACTTCTTCACTTTTCCATTTCCTCCTATATTACACTACAAATATCATACTTTGATATTCTTTTCCTTCTTTCTTTTCTTTTTATTTCTCAATTTTCATTTTTATTACCATACTTTTGGCAAGGATAAAAAGAAAAAAGAAGAAATAAAATAAAATAAAAAATAAAAAAGAAAGAAAAAAATTGGTAAAAACGAAAGAAAGAAATATTAATATCGCTTAGTGGCAATGTCAAAGGTGAGAGATATTTTAATTTTTGTTTCTTTTTTTGTTTTTTTTTTTTTTTTTTTTAACCAAAATAAAAGGTTAAAAAAAGAGATTTGTTATTGTAAACATTCATTAAATTAAAATAAAAAGACTTTTAAAAATAATAATTAGAATATAATTCATCTCGTCTAAAACTTTATACTTTATTGATTTCTTTTATCAAATCTCTCTTTCTACCTCTCTCCCTCTCTCTCTCTCTCTCTTTCCTTCTATTGCAAAAGTTAATGTATGGAATAATTTAAACATAAATGTATTCACACAAGTTTACTTAGAAATGCAATGATATTATAACTTAAATTATGTATATATATATGTATGCTACTTAATTACTTAATTAATTTTTTATTAATTAACCAACAAAAGTAAATGAATATTTCCGCTTAAATTAGTTTGATTGTGAATAGTAAAGTAATCACTATCGTATAACTTTAGTTATTTACATATTTACTCATTCTACAAAAAAAAAAAAGAGAAAGAAAAGTATTTTATCCAAAAATTTACCCAAAAAAAAGTTCACTTCTACACTTCCAAGTAATTACTACGTCTTACTTAACCAATTAGTATTCATTATCATATAACTTTAGTTATTTACATATTCATTCATTCTGCAAAAAAAAAGTATTTAATCCCAGAATTTACCCCCACCCCCCAAAAAAAAAAAAAAAGTTCATTTCTACATTTTTAACTAAATACATTTTACTTAACTAATTAACTACTCTATTTTTTTTTTTTGGAAGATAAAAGGATTAGAATTACTAAAATTTAATTATTATTTATTTTTGTATCTTCCCAATAAATAATTTCAATGTTAATTACACATACATTTTACAATAATAAATTATTCCATAACACTTTAAAAAAAAAAAAAAAAAAAGAAAATTAATTTTATATATTTGTGTAAAAAATTATTATCAAATTTTTTGATTGTAATTTTGAGCATTTAATTAAATATAATTTAAAGTTTAAGTCAATTTTTTCGGATTTAAATTTGATTTAATAGCTCAAAAATCTTTGAATTTCATTGATTGATTTATTTTAAAACTACACTTGTATAAAGTTAAAAATTGTATTTCATCTTGATCTAATCCAAATTTAAATTTAATGTTAGCCTACTTAAAGTTACTTCATTGACTTATTTTAAAACTAAGTTTTTTTTTTTTTTTTCTTTTCCTTTTTTTTTCTTTCTTTCGTTCATTCATTTTTCTTTTCTTGGATATGACATAAATTAAGAAAGAAATGATACTTATGGGAAATTTTTTTTGCTAGTTTTCTTCAATTTTTTTTTTATATTTTTATGCTTAATTGCTTCTTTCTTTCTTTCTTTTTTTCTTTTTCTTTTTTTTGCAATGAATAAATTATTTATGCTATAATTATTTATGTTAAAATGTTAAAAATGCTTAATTATTTTTACATTTGATAAAAAATTTCAGATACTTTCATTATTTCATTTTATATTTTTAATTTTAAATTTTTATAAAAAATAATTTTGCATTTTTTTTTTTTAATATTATTATCAATTATTTCATTTTCTATTACCAATTTTTTTTTTTGCATTCTGTTTAAGCATTTCATTATTTGTATATGCTAATAATAGTTGCTATCTTTCAATTCTTTCTGTCAACAAATTATTTTATTGGAAATGAAATTTGCTTTTTTTTTAAACTGTTTTCTCTCTCTCTCTCTTTCTCTCTATTTTGTCCTCTCTGATTTTCTTCTTTTTCCCTTTCTCTCCCTCTATCTCTCTCTCTCTTCTTTTGTCAATTTTATTTGAAAGATTTTTTTGTCGTTTCTTTTTTTTTGAAAAGACTTTCAAATGTTATTCAAATATTATTTCAGTACTGTGATTTTGTGATTTTTTTTTTTTCAATAGATTGGATTTATTTTTTGCTTGCGGGAATTTTTCAAAAATATTAAATAAAAATTTATTATTATTCATTCTTTTTTTTTAATGTTATGTTTTAATTAGAAAGAAAATAAAATGAATACTTTGTATTCTTAATTTTTTAATCGATTTCATTTAATTTTACAAATTAGAAATTATTTTAAAAAAGAAAAAATGATTCAATTATATATGTAATATTTGTATTTTGCGACATTTTTTTTTTTGTTTTTAAATTTAAAAAGTTTCGCAAAAATAAATCTATTGTCAACTATCATTGTAAAAATATTTTTTTTTTTGTTTACAATCAGTTATCATGATTGTCTTATCAATGATAATCATTACAATACTTACATTTTGATATGCCATTATTATAAATAAACATTAACCTGTAAGCAATATTTTTCCATTATCATCAGTTATCATTATTATCACAATCATTATCACCTATCACTGAAATTAGTATCATTATAATTACAATCATAATCATATTTATCCTATGCATCACAATTTTTTTTTTTCAAATCAAATTTAATTTGGTTTAAATGGTTTATAATTCAATGAACACTTAACATTTTTTCATTTTGTATAATTGAAAATAAAATATTTCAAAAATAAATTTCATTTATGAGACATATATGTATATTGTTCGATTATTTTCAGTTCATTTTAGTAATATTTAACAAATATTTCTCACAAAAAAAAAAAAATTTTTTTTTTCACTTTAATAAATATTTATCAAATTTGAATGCTAAGCAAACTAAAGTAAAGGAAAGGGAAAAAAAAGTGATAATAAATTGAAATGAGTGAAAAAAAAAATAAAAAGATGATTGTTTTTGAAAATGTGAAATATAGAATTAATAATAATTATTATAACAGTTAATTATTATCAACTTACTTAATTAGCTATATGATAATATCACTAATTAGCAATACTTCATTTATATTTGTAAACATAAACAATAATTATTCATTTGTTTTGATTGATAAAATTATCTCATCTAATTGTGTACTTTTTGTTTTACTTTCTTTTTTTTTTGTGTAAAATATTGGATGAAATTTTGAGAGTAGAAATGAAATGGAGAAATATTAATTTATCATTTGCATGAATATTATGATATGATATGAATTAGTGATAAATTGATTTGTAACATGAGTGATATGATATGAATTATTGATAAACTGGTTTATAGCATAAATGATATGATATGAATTAGTGATAAATTGATTTGTAACATGAGTGATATGATATGAATTATTGATAAACTGGTTTATAGCATAAATGATATGATATGAATTAGTGATAAATTGATTTGTAACATGAGTGATATGATATGAATTATTGATAAACTGGTTTATAGCATAAATGATATGATATGAATTAGTGATAAATTGATTTGTAACATGAGTGATATGATATGAATTATTGATAAACTGGTTTATAGCATAAATGATATGATATGAATTAGTGATAAATTGATTTGTAACATGAGTGATATGATATGAATTATTGATAAACTGGTTTATAGCATAAATGATATGATATGAATTAGTGATAAATTGATTTGTAACATGAGTGATATGATATGAATTATTGATAAACTGGTTTATAGCATAAATGATATGATATGAATTAGTGATAAATTGATTTGTAACATGAGTGATATGATATGAATTATTGATAAACTGGTTTATAGCATAAATGATATGATATGAATTAGTGATAAATTGATTTGTAACATGAGTGATATGATATGAATTATTGATAAACTGGTTTATAGCATAAATGATATGATATGAATTAGTGATAAATTGATTTGTAACATGAGTGATATGATATGAATTATTGATAAACTGGTTTATAGCATAAATGATATGATATGAATTAGTGATAAATTGATTCGTATACTATGTACAATTGATTGAAATAATGTATGATAGATATGAATGATTATAATTTTGATCATTTTTAGAAAATTAAAAAAAAAAAAAGAAAAGAAAAGAAGGATTGAAATTTATTTCAATATTTATCTGTTATCTAAATCAAATATCTTGTTATTCTATCTTATCATATATATGTTATTCTATCTTATCATATATACATCTCTCTTTATCAATTTTTCTTCAAATTTTTTTATTTTCAAAAAAAAAAAACAATAACAATTTCTATTTCAAATTCCATTTCCAAATTCCATTTTTTACAGTAACATTTTTTTTGTTATTTTATTATTAATTGCATTTAAATTTTAATTTAATTATTTATAAAATAGCACTAAAACATTTCTTTCTTTGTCCAACGATATAAAAAAATTTTATTTAGAAATAAACAATGTCAAAGTTCATTCATAAATTTAGAATCTTAAAAATTTGTCATACTTAAAAATTTAAAAAAAATGTTATTTTTTTTGATATCAAATTTTTTTTTGATATTGGAATAAATTCATTAGTTTATTAAAATTTACATTTCTTTTTTTTTTTCATTTATTTTATTTTTCGAAATTGGTAAAAAAAGGAAAGGAAAAAAGTTGCAGAAAAAAATTTTATCACTAATCAAAATGAATATTATTTATCATTTTTTGTCCTAATTATTTCATAAAAAATTTTATAGAATTTTTTTTTATTTTCAAATGCTAATTTTCAGCATAAAATTTCATTTATTTTTTTCTCGAGAATTTCACTTCAATAATGAAATTCATTAGATTGAACTAATACTGCTATTGGAATAGAAATATAAATTCGATTTTGGGATTTTGTTATTGTTGTTGACATAACGACAAAGTTTTGATTTAGTTTACTTTTTTTTTTCTCTACAAATAGTATATACTATGATAAATTAATAAAGCAAAAAAAAAGAAATTAAAAAATAAAAAATCAAAAAAATAAAAATGAAAATTTCTTTTTTTTTTGTTTTTTTTTTCTAGCGTGGATTAAATGATTTTTTTACATCATTATCGAGTACCACAGGTGGTGGAAATTTATTAGCAACAAATTTACATGGCGTTACATTAGATAGTGAAGCTAAAAAGGTATGTTTAATTAATTAGTTAATTAATTAATTCATTTATTTGTTCTTTGTTCCTTTTTTTTTCGTCGAAACAAATTTTTATCTTCTACTTGTTTCTTTTTTCTTTTTTAATTATTGGTATTAAAAAAAAAAAAAAGGAATAAAATAAAATAAACATTGTAATTATCAAATTTATAATAGTATGAATAATACAAAATTTGAAATGCTTGTTTGTTTGTCTGTTTGTTTGTTTATTTCTAAATTTGCTAATTAAAAATTAAATTAAAAATGAAATTATCTGACGAAGTTTTTTTCCCCTTCCAATTATTTTCAATAAAAAAAAAAATAAAATAAAAATTATAATTATCAAATTAATAATAGTATGAATAATACAAAATTTGAAATGCTTGTTTGTTTATTTATTTTCAAATTTGCTATTTAAAAATTAAATTAGAAATGAAATAATTTGAATAAAAATATTAATAAATTTTCTCTTCTACTTTTTTCGCTTTTTAATTATTGATAATAAAAAATAAAATAAAATAAACACTGTAATTATCAAATTGATATTGGTATGTATGAGATAAATTTGAAACGCTTGTTTGTTTGTTTGTTCGTTTATTTTTAAATTCGATAATTAAAAATTAATCAAAACTACTGAAATAATCTAAAGAAAAATTTTTCTCTTTTTAATTATTTGCAATAAAAAAAAAAAAAAAAGTAAAATAAAATAAACATTATAATTATCCAATTAATAATAGTATGAATAATACAAAATTTGAAATGCTTGTTTGTTTGTTTGTTTGTTTTTTAATTTATTAATTAAAAAAATGAATTTATTTTGATAAAATTTTCATTCTTTTCTCTTCTTTCATCTCCTTTTTTCTTTGTTTGTTTTTTTTTTTTTTTTTTTTTTTTTTTTTAGGCTAAATTAGATTATTCAGTGAATTTATTAGCAACAGCTAGTGGAATGGTACTACCATCAATGCAACAGCAACTTCTTTCAGCTATTGCATTTGCTAATGGCGCACAATTTTTACAAAATTCCGCTTTTTTAACTCAACCATTTATTAATGCTAATACGATAACTTCTACTGCTACTAATACTAATAGTAGTAGTAGTAGTAGTAGCAGTACTACTATAAGTAACAGTATGCTTTATATCATTTTCTCTTTTCTTTTTTTTTTTTAAAAAAAATATTATTGAAAATTTAAAAAAGTTAAAATAAAAAATAAAGAAAACAAAAATTTACGTTTTATTAATTTGTGATAAATTAAAAAATTTTTTATTTATTAATTGCTAATGAAATTAATCAAATATTAATTAATAAAGTGATATTAAAATATTAAACTAATTTTTTAATAGATATGGCTGCGACAACATCAACTGGTTTAACAAGTGGTAATATTGGACATTCATCATATCATATTTCACGTGTGGTACATCTTCGAAATATACCATCCGATATGACTGATTTAGAATTAATTCATTTTTGTATGCCTTATGGAAAGCTTATTAATTATTTATTACTTAGAGGAAGAAATCAGGTAAAAAATTATCCATTTCAATTTAAAATTTGAATTTATTATTATAAAAGAATTAATAATTTAATTATGTATAATTTAGTACATGCAATTATTTTAATTAAAGTTTATTTATTAAAGAAGCTTGAACAAATAAGAAGTAATAATTGATATTATTGATTTTTATGATGGATAAATTAAAAGTATAAAAATTTCTTTTTTTTTTTTTTTTATATTTAAATTTAATCATTATTTTATTATACTAAAGAAAGGAAATTAAAAAAGTTTTTTTTTAATTTTTCAAAAAAAATTTTTTTTTTAAAGGCATTTGTGGAATATGAAGATGAAAGAAGCGCCCAAACTTTAGTTACAGTAAATATAGCATGTCCAGTAGCTATCCGTGACAGGTATTTGCTATATTTCATATTTATATATATATTTTTAAAAATGGTTATTAATTGATGAAAGTATACACCTGTTATCAATTAATAAAATCTTTTAATATTCTAAAATTTAAATTTTAGAATATTAAAAAAAAAAAAACAATAAAAAGGAGAAACCAAATTATAAAAAATTACATTAAAAATCAATAAAAAAAGTAAATTAATTTATGGAAAAAATGAATAAAAATTATAATAAAAAAAAAAAAAAACAAATAAAGAGTAAATGAAAATCTATGATTTAATAAAGAGTAAATAAATAAAAAGATTCATAAAAGACTTTTTTTATTTGATAAAAAAAGTAAATTAATATATACAAAAAAAAAGACAAAAATTTGTTTTGTAAAAAAATTTTTTTTTTTGAAAAAATTTATCATTTAAAATTTAACAAATAAATTTTTATCTTATCATCATTTTAGGACAATATTTTGCCAATTTTCCACTCATCAAGAATTGAAAACCAATCGTCGTCTTCGTACTGATAGCAATTGTTCTAATCTTATCATTGATCAAGATGATAATGAGGTTTGTTTACATCTAAATGCATTTCTTTTTTGCTCCTAAAATTTCCACAAATTTATGCAAATAAACAGAAAAAAAATTATTTAATGATAAGAGTGGCTTAAATTTTAAACAACAATTAATTAAATCAAATTCATTTTTTACTCATTTATTCAGTCGAACAATGTTAATTTGTACTTGGAAAAGAAGAAAAAATAGACAAAGTCCATTTTTAAAATTCATTATAGTTTTAACTCTTGAAATAGTATATCATTTTAATCTTAAAATTAAATAAACGAATAGATAATAAAATAAAACAAACAAAAAAAAAAAAAAAAAGGAACAAATTTATTTAATGATTAATGAAAATGGATTTTATTTGATTTATAAATTTTTTTTACATTATTTTTAAAATAAATGCCAAAAGCTTTTTATTCTTTTTTTTTTTTAATTTGATAAATAAAAGCCTAATATTATTCTTCTGTTATTTCTTTATAAATTAAGATTAGTTAAGATTAAGATTATTATTATTATTAAGATTATGATTACTAAGATTAGTTAGCTAATTCCAAATTTTTTCTTTTGCTATAATAGCAATAATCACTTATCAGTCTCTTATCATTTCTTATGAAAATCATTTGGTATAATTTGTAAATATGCTTGTGTGTATGTATGTGAAAGATTGAAGTAATCATTTTGAATAAATATACATAACTTAATTTAAGTTTATTTGTAAATTATACTAAGAAAGTATAAATTATACTAAAAAAGTAAATTATACTTTTGTTTGTTTGTAAAATAATTTAATTTAATAATTTTTGTTTATTACAAAAAAGAAGAAATGACAAGTACGAGTGGAAAATAATGCGTAGTGATAAAATATGATCAAATATAATAATAATTAAATATCAAATTAACAATATTAGTAAAAATTTGTTTAATGAAAAATTTTTCAAATATTTTAATAATAATACTATAGAATTTAGTTGAAAAAAATTTTTTTATCAAATAATAATAATAAATTATTAATGAAAAAATTTTTTTTCAAACATTTTTGTTACTTAATTAAAAAGTTAATTGAGAAATTTTACAAATTTTATTACGAACTAAATTTTTTTTCTTTTTTTTTTTTGCTTTCAACAATTAATTTCAGCAATTGTTTTAATTTTAAACAAAGCCATTTTATCATATTGTATATGATTATTGTATTAATTACAATTTAAGTAATTCAATTATAAAAATTAAAAAACTTCTAAAATGCTGAAATTTTAATAATTTTTTATCCTTCATTTTCTTTTTGGTTTCATTTTTAAAATTTAAACATTTCAAATATCATTTCTTTTTCCAAGCCTTTTTCATATATATATTTTCCTTTTTATCATCATTTCAATTCAATTCATTTCAGTTCAATCCATTTCAATTAAATTCATTTTGTAATTCGGTTCAATTCAATTCAATTCATCTCAATCCATTTCAGCTCATTTCATTTCAACTCAATTCAGTTCATTTCAATTAAATTCATTTCACTTTCTTTTATTTTCTAATTGAAAATAGCTTTTTAAAATAATGTGCTAACTTTTCTCTCTAAATGTAAAAAAAAAAAGAAGGAAAAAAAAAATGGCAACCATGAGTTTAGCATTAATTCATCAATCCTTCTTCATATAAATACATCAGACGTATTTATTTCCTGTCTCCTGTCCCCTGTCTCCTGTCTTCTGTCTCCTGTCCCCACCATGTCCCCATATTTTCATGTCTCTATGTGTGTCCTTTCCTTTTCCTTATTGGTAGGCCTATTTCCGGTGCCCCTCTCTTCGGGTAATTGGATGAATGATGATAAAATGAAAGTGGTATATGCCTCTATTCTCTCTTCTTCAAACCAATTCTCAACCTTTTATTTATTTTTTTTTTGTTCAAGCTTTTTCATTTCAAAAATGATACATACATCATTGCTCACTAATCATATATCTATTTTTATTCCCTTTTTCCGCATATCATTTTGCGCCCATGCAAATTTCAAGTAAATTATATTGTAGCAATGAATTATTCATTCATTTTTTTTTTTAAAGGAAGGAAAAAAGAAACATGAGAAGAAGAAGATTGATCAATTTTGAAATAAATTCATTTTAATAAAATAAATTATATTTTTAAATTAAATCACTTTAATAAGAAATAAATTATTTGCAAAAAAAAAAAAAGAGAGAAAAACAAAAAATATGATAATTTTAATAATGTTATTATCATTCTAATAATATAAAATGTACTCAAATAGCTAAATTATAAAATAATTTATGCATTTTTTAATTTTATCGAAGTATTATTTGAAAATTATTTTAGTAAATATTTTCAATTATTTTTTTTTTTTTATTTTCAGTTGTATGTTAAAAAAAAAAGTAAAAATGACAATAACATAATAGTAGATAGTATATTTTTAAATTTTTTACAAATTAATTTAAATGAATTGTTTTTGGTTAATCTAAATTGCACATTTATAAATGCAATAATAATACATTGCGATTTTATTTTTATTTTATTAGTGTTTGAAGTAAGACATTTCTTTTTTATATTTTAATTTTCTTTTACATCAATGTGTCTTTTTTGAATTTTAATTTGCTTGTATTAAAAACTTTTTAGTGCCTTTTTTTTTTTTTTTTATTAAAATGTTAAACTTTAGTGTTTTTTTTCTCAAATTTCTTTCACAAAATTAAAATTATTAATTTGATAAATTTATCATTTTCAAATATAAATATATCATTTGAATTCATTTATATAAATTTAAATAGATAATGATAACATAGAAATCATCTATTATTTTATTTTTTATAAACAATGATAAACGAATAGTTTAAAATGAAATGAAAAACTTTTTCCCATTAAGTATTTAGTAAAATTTTTGCAAGAGAGAAAAAAAAAGAACAAAAAAAACGAAATTCTCTTGACGATCATAAATGATAGTTTATTTCAGTTATATTGAAATCAAATAAACTATTACAAAAGGATGAAAGAAAAAGAGAGAGAGAGAGGGAGAGAGAAGAAAAGAGAGAAAATTTTTTAGAAATAAATAATGCCTTTTCGATCTTTTTCTTTTTCTATTATTCTTTCCTCTCTCTTTCCCTCTCTCTCCCTCCCCCTCTCTCTCTTATAATAATGTTCATTTCTTGTAAGTGGAAAAAAATTTAAAAAAAAAAATGAAATAAATGGATTTTTCATTTTTTTTTTTTCAATGGTATTTCATTTCATTGCAAAACCAATACACTCAATTTTGCAACTCTTTGATAAAATCCTTTTTTTTTTTTTTTTTTTTTTTGAATCTATCAATTTGCTTTGATCATTTCTTATTTCAAATTATTTATGATTTAAAATATAATTTAAATTTTAAAATGAATTTAAAAGTGAAATATGAAATATACAGGCGGCAATGATTTTGCAATAAACTTTTTTTTTTCTATTCTATTTATTTTCAATTTTTACGAATTTTATTAGTTTCATATATATAATATATTGTTTTTTTTTTCGTTTCTTTTTCTAATCACTTTTTAATAACCAAAGAAAAACTTTTATTTCTATTCTATTTTTCAAAAATGCAATTCAAATTATACATTATCATCATATTTTATCATCATCAATTTTTAATACTTTTATTTTAATAGAAAAAGCGAAAAAGAAAAGGAAAGAAAGAAAAATAAAATTTACACCAACTATTTATCGATTATCAAAGATTTATCTGTTATCTGTGATCTATTCAATAATCAAAAATTTTCTAGCAATCACTAGAAAGCACATTTTATCATTTAAAAGATCATATATACTTAATTATAATTCAGATCAAATATTATCACACTATCAAATATTTAATAATATTTATTTCTATTTATATATTTCTTGTTTGTTTGTTTGTTTGTTTTTTGTTTTTTTTTTTTTTTTTTTTCTCCTTGCAATTTAGAAATTGTGATGCTTTTTAATATCATCAAACATTTTTCAATTTAGCTTATAACACATTTTCAGCTTCATTGAATTTCACTTATCGTCAAAGGAGGGAGAGAGAGAGAGAGAGAGAGAAAGGGTTTATATGTTCGATCCATATTTATGCATTATTATTTATATTACATCAAGTTAATTTTCTTTTTTTTTTTTCAAATTCTCTCCTTTTCATCAATGCCATCCAATAAGTTTAACTTTTTACTCTTTGCTTAACGAAATATTTTAAAATGCTTTTTATAAATGATAAATATCATATAATGTTTTTTTATTCCATCGTTTCATTTTTTTTTCCTTTGCTAAAAGTAAAAAGTTTCAATTTTAAATTAAATATTTAGAAATAAAATTTAATATTTATTTGTTAAACATATCCTTCATGAAGAAGTAGCTGTTTATATTTAACAAATTATTATGCGAACATAATTTTTGTGATAATATACTATTTAAAATGTTTATCAATGTATTTATCATTTAGTGAAATAGTTTTATTATAAGAAATAAAAATTTTTTTTATCAAATTTTTTTATCAAAATATACACATTAGTCCTCTCCTTTTTGTTTTTAAATTTAATTCAATTTGCTCAAAAATTATTTGCGACGTTTAAAAAATAAATGAATAAAAAACTAAAGCAAAAATTTATCACTGTATGATATTAGCTTATCACATCAAAGTTTGTTTATTATTCATTTTGTAATTATTTATTTAAATGTTCACAAATTCTATTCGATAAAATTTTTCCCATTAATTTTATGGCAATTTTCTAACAAAAATTTTGAAATATGCCTAAAGGATTTTAGAAATTAAAATAAAAATTAATCATTTTTGTTTTTTTTTTTTTTTAAACTAACATATTTTTTGTTTCTACTGGAAAATTCTTCCTTTTTTTTCTCCATTTTCCCTTGTAAATGATCAAATTCATTCAAAAACAGGATTGGAATAATTATTTCAATTCAAAGTATTCATTTTTCAAAAAAAAAAAGCACAGATAAATAAAAAAAATTAAGAAGCAAATTCATCCTTATCAATTTCTTATCAATAAAATAATGGATGAAAATTTTTTTTAAAAAAAAATGGTAGCACATTTAATAGTTTTATTTAAATCTTTCTTACCAATTTTTGATTGCTTCCAATCATTATTTCACTTTGTTTTTTCAACTGTGAGAAAAATTTCGTTTACTCATCTGTAAATTTTTTTTTTGTTTTGTTTTTGTTTATATTAGGAATATTTATTATTGTATTTCAGGATAGAGCTATTTTTTTTCTGAAATTTCTCAATTTCAGACTAATATTTTTTAGTGGTCATTAAAAATTTACAGTTGATTTCATTTTCTTCTCTTATATCTTCTCATCATTTTATAAAATGAAATTTTTTAAGAGTTTCGTTTTATTAATATATTCACTTTTTTTTCTTTTTTTGAAAAAAGAAAAGAATGGTTTGGATGAAATTTGAAGAATTTTATTGAATTGAATCAATTCATACATACATGTATATAGGACTAATCTCAATAACGTGATAACGTGATTTGTTGACGTAATCGAGTTTACGTTATGTTAATGTTTAGTCTTTTTTCGTTAAGAATAATGTATATTTGTAACGTAAGTTGCTGATATTATTTTTGCTTGAAAAGTAAAATGATTTTTTTTTACATTCTGTTGATTTTTTTCTCCAGTACTTTTCACGTAAGTGACGTATTTCGGTCACAATTACACGTTAAATTATTTGCATTATCTCATATGATTATTTCATGGAGCAAAGAAATTATTAAATTATATTTTAGAAGAAAATGCTAATTTATTTATTTAAATTTAAATAAATAATTTTAAATTCATCAATTGTGGAGAATTTTATTGGTTGAAAAATTTTTGAAAATGATTTTGAATAAAATAATTGTTTACTGGTTGAGCGTTTAGTGTAATACCATCGATAATATTGATAGCGAAAAATTCTGACCAAATAACTTCTGTAAAAAAATATTATGATATCAATCTTCTAATTAGCGTTTTTTTTTTTTTCATTTTTTAAATTTTATTTAAAAGTTAGAAATAACAATGAGAAAAGCTTTATTTTCTGAGTGGTATTTTGTGACATTATTTTGTTAGCTAATAGTGCAATGACAGAGCTATGCATGCATTTCAAATGATACTTGTTGAAAAGCGGTATAGGCTTAAAAAATAAAAATGAAAAAAACGAAAAAAGAAAAAAATGAATTGTGCAAATTAAAAATTGATTCATTTCATTCTGCTACTATCTTCCGATATTTTAAAAGCGATCAAAAAAAAGAAAAAAAAAAAAGTTAGCTATTTTGTTTGATGGTTGAGAAGCTTTACGACAGCTTTTAAATATTGTGACTCTTTTTTTTTTTTTTTTGTAAAATTTCAAACTATTATTTATCACATTAAACTATTTAAAATCATTCAAATCTTTATTTACTTTGTAATATATTTATTACTATTATTATTGTCAACACAATTTTATTATTATTGATAACCTATTTACCTATTTACTTACTTAATTACCACATCTTTATCGTATTTTCTCCCTCTTTTCATCATTTTTTTTTTCTTTCTTTCTTCTTTCTTCTTCTCAATTTAATGACATCTCATCATTTGTTGTTATTTAGTTTAATTGGATTAGAAAGAATTTAGGATCATTGTACCCTCATAGTTTTATATGTTTCGTTCAACTATTAATTTAAGAAGAAAAAAAAAAAAAGAAAAAATTTTTTTTTTCCTGTTTCACATTCTTTCTCTCTTATAGAAATTAAATTTTCACATACTTCTCTTCTTTCTTATCATTATTATTATTATTACTATTCTTTTTTTTTCCCTCTTTCTCCCTCTCTCTCTCTTCTCAAATGATCATTATTACATGGAAAATGTCGAACAAATGACGCCATGGATAGTAGCGACAATATTTTTCATCAACATTTAAAGCATCGATAAGCAAAAAGGACACGAGGAGGAGGCGGAGGAGGAGGAAGAGGAAGAAGAAGAAGAGGAGGAGAAGGAGAAGGAAGGGAAAGGACATCATCAGTTTACGTAACAATTCCTGTCATTATAGTCAAAAAAAAAGACTATAAATAAGTTTAATTAATTCATTCGTTCAATTGTGAAACTAATTTCATTGGAATTTGATAAGTGAATGAATGAAATGAAGTGAATGAGTGAATGACTGAATGAATGAATGAATAAATGGAATGAAATGAAATGAATAAGTGAATGAATGAAATGAAATGAATAACTGAATGAATGAATGAATGAATAAATGGAATGAAATGAAATGAATAAGTGAATGAATGAAATGAAATGAATAACTGAATGAATGAATGAATGAATGAATAAATGGAATGAAATGAAATGAATAAGTGAATGAATGAAATGAAATGAATAACTGAATGAATGAATGAATGAATGAATAAATGGAATGAAATGAAATGAATAACTGAATGAATGAATGAATGAATGAATGAATGAATGAATGAATGAATGAATGAATGAATGAATGAATGAATGAATGAATAAATGGAATGAAATGAAATGAATGAATGAATGAAATGAAATGGATGAATGAATGAATGAATGAATAAATGGAATGAAATGAAATGAATAAGTGAATGAATGAAATGAATGGATGAAATGAAATGAATTGGATTAATGGAAGTATAATTGGAGCAATGTTAATTATTCAATTATTATGCGTATTTCACGTTTCATAACGTTTTCATTTCAACTGTTAACATTCATTACTAATCTATGAATAATAATTAAATTCCTTTTCTTTTATTTTCCTCTCTCTCTCTCTCTCTCTCTCTCTTTCACTCTAACTTTCTCTTTTTACAAATTTAAACTTAAAAAGTTTGATAAAATTTTTCATATCTATAAGAGGAATAATTAATGTAAAAATATACAAAGTAAACATTTTTGTTGCTTTTTTTTTTTTTTTAAATGTAACATTAATTTATGAGAAATTTAATTAATTCGTATTTAATTAAATTGAATAAATAATTTATTTTTTTGAACATAAGGAAGAAATATATTATTCTGGCAAAAAAAAGAAAAAAAAAAGTATAATTTATTCACTTCAAAAATGTAGCAAAGCTAGTTAAATGCTAAACGTTTAGAATTATCTTTTCACTTGTTTACACTAACCAATCATTAAATACATTTC